GATGCTGTTTCCCAACATGGGGAGGTTCCCTCAACAAACAAGAGAGCAGCAGGAGCAGCTGCTGTAGCGCATAGTGGTGATCGATTCTCAATATCCAGTTGCATTGAAGTATTGAATGAGATGGCAGGGGTTGATGAAGAGCTTTATCTGGCTGCTTCAGATTTGTTCCAGGACCCTGACCGGAGGGAAACATTTATATGCATCAAAAGTGAGATCAAACTGGCATGGCTTAAGGCCAAATGTAAACATCTTTTGTAGTTGTAGATTATCAATCATAATCAATGATACTTTGATAGTTATATGTTGCAGCAATGCTTGTGTTATTCAGTTTGCATATCCTCTACAGTGTTGTAAGCTACCGCATATAATAAATATTTTAATTAAAAAGAAAAAACTGTCAGTTTGGTGTTTTTCCGATTATTAATCCTCCGGCAAATTGTTATTATTATTTACGAAATTTGTATCACATCACATCTCTGCGAAAAAGGAAAATTGGAAATATCAAATATTCATTGCCAGAACGCACCGTTTAGCGCACTGCGTCTCTTAGAGTAACTGATGCACGAGCGCGAACCGAACCAATCACGTCCTGCCGTGTCCTCCGTCTCAATACACCTTGAACGTTGACCAGAAGCCCCTCCCACATTTTTCTCCTATAGAACCAAAAAAAAAAAAGAAAAAAGAAAAAAGAAAAGAAAGAGACTGGGAAGCAGAGGCTACTCTTTCAGGCAATTTCACAGCGATATCCCGGAGACAGGTAACCTCTTTCTTCCACTATTGGTTTCGTCGTCATTGTTTATTACATAATCTTCCTCTACAGTCTCCGCCCCATTTTGTATTCTGATTTTTCTCTCGGAACGTAGGATTCTGATACTGAATTCTTCAATTTGTTTAGCGTTTTGTATATAACATGCATAATATGTATAATCTGATTGTCTGGGAAAAACTTGTCTTTTGATATTAATAATTGGGATGTTTTATTCTTGGGGCATTGTTATTATTGTTTTTAGGGTTTTAATCTGCCTACATTCTGGTTGAATCAAGGGAGTTTTACCCAATTTCAAATGAAGAGAAAGAAAAGGTTTTAGTTTTCAATCAAGGCATGTAAGTTCACTCATTTCAATGCTGATTGGGAAATTTCTATGATACAATAATAAATTTATGATCTCTAGAGTCTGTATTTTCTAGGGTTTAGGATGATCATAGCATACTAATAAGTGGAATGTTATTAATTTCAGATGCACTTTTTGTAGCTGTAGATGGACAATGAAGGCAGTCATCAACCCAAGCAAGAACGTTCAAGGACTAGGTGGACAGCTTCCCTTGATAAGACATTCGCAGACTTGGTTGTTAAGCAGATTCAATTGGGAAACAGACCCAACAATGTCTTCGACAAGAAAACATGGAACATTATTCGTGACGAGTTTAACAGGCAAACAGATCTCAACTTCAACAACAATCAATTGAGGAAGCACTTGGATGTTCTAAGAACGCGCTTCTACGGTCTCAAGTCAGCTTATGATCAAACTAATGACTTCACTCTGGATGATTCTTGTTGTATCGAGTTTGCTCACCTGTGGGAAGACCTTGGGGTACAGCCTAGGCCTGAAACAATTAAAGTCAAGGACTGTCCCATATATGATCAGCTCTGCACAATATTCGCAGACTCAACCGCCGATGGGAAGTATGCCCAATCTAGTCACTATGAGGGGTTGGACAAGTCCGCCGGAATAGACAATGCAGGTTTGAGTTCCTATCCTGACAGTGAAGCCCCTCCTCATCCTGAAATCCCACCATCCTCAAAGCCTGTGCAAGGAAATGCATTATCAGCAGAAAAGGTGGCCAAGGTTATAGCAGAGAGAAAAAGGAAACGTCCATCTGAAACACACTCTTCTGAGGATCAAAGAAGCAGAAGGGATCAAGAAATATGTGATACCATGGCACAAGCCATGCGAGAGATGATTGCTGCCTCAAAGTTGAGGAGGGCCACAGCAATGCCTAGTGACAAATTTTCGATAACAAATTGTATTAGAGCACTGGATGAGATTGAAGGCATTGGCGAACAGCTCTACTTTCGGGCACTGGACCTGTTTGAGGACCCTAATTTAAGGGAGACCTTCCTCTCTTTAAAAGGCAATCAAATACGGTTGACTTGGTTGCAAGCCAAGTGCAGTAAAACTACCTATGGTTAGAGGTTAGGAGATGAACTTTTTGGCTAAAGGATAGAGGTTAGAGGTTAGAGGTTAGGGGTTAGGGTGTGAACTCATTGCCCATGTTCATAATATGACTTTTCCTTTTAGTGAAAACTTATAAAAAGGGCACCTCGTCTTCAATGACATAGCTAGGTTTTTATTATGATTTCAGGATTGTTGGAAATTTGTTCATCCCTTGGAATTGCAAGCAGCAGAATTGGGCATATATTTAACAATAAGGAGTGAGTTTGTCTTCAAAAAGACCTCCTCGGACCGCAAGTTTTGGGACTATAACCATTTGGGTACGGCCCTAAGTTAAAGAAAAAGTCCCATATTTTCATATACCAAGTAGTTGAACTTGAGGCTCAACCATATCAACGAATTGAAAGAAGCATTCGCATGAGCTTGTACACCACATAAAATCTGGTTTGGTTTTACCATTAATGGGTTCCAAATTAGCATGTCTCATTTTTATCTCTTAAAGTATACGAAGAATGAGGATCAATATCATGACAACTATATTTGGCTCAAAATTCAAGATAAGTGAAATTAATATGGCACATGAAATGTGTATTACAGCAACTTGACTAAACTCATTACAAAACTAATCGGATTGTGCAGCATGACTTGGAAGCTGGTAACGGAACCAAAGACAGACGGCCCTCCTCTTCTGTCTCTGCCACAAACAGTACACGCAGTACTGTCGAAAGATAGATAAGGTAAAGTCCATTTAGTTCTTGAATTAGCATTTTAGAACCGGAAAGGGCAAACGAATGGACAAATCATAAATCCAAAACACTAACTTGCAAGTACAAATGCACCTTCCAAAGACACAATCATACAGTGCCACGATCGTTCCCTTCCACATTCTGTTTTTTAAGTCTGTAAAAATCCAGCATTTCTTCCTCCACCGGATGGGTCTTGCCTACTATGACCAGACAATGAAGAGGTGCTCCAAAATCAACCGACTGCAGTTCCTTCATTGTACCAGAAACTATCTTCTGATCCTCACTTCCCAGCCGAGCAAGCCCAACACACATGGTGTTTTCATCATATGCTGCAAGATAATGCAAAAATAAAAACTACAGCAACTGGAAGTTGTCTTAAGTTGTGTACAAGCCAGACAATAGATAACATTTATGTTAGAAAAATTTGGGACCCTTACCAGATTCTCCTCGATTGTCCTCAACCTCCAAAAGCTGCTCAATTGCAGTGTTTATTGACATATATCTAGGTGGTTCATACTGCTTCCTTCCTCTGAAAGATTCAAGGGGGGCAGAAAAATGTAAATAAGCTTATGCAACAGCAGAAGGAAAACACATAAAATTAAGACACAGTAAATCCTTCCAAGCTAAAATCAAAGAGAAGGCAGTCAATCATTTGAACACGGACCTGCACAATGATTCCAGAGTAGGTTCCTTCACTCGTATATCTACAGTGAAAAATAATTTGTGATGAAAGTTTCTAGCAAGATAAGCATTGATCGTGTCACACTTTAAATGAGGAAGTATGAAGAACCCAACCTAACAAGCAGAGAGTATGCAGTCCAAGCCCACGATTTTTTTGAATCTTCTCGTAAAAGCTATCAGGTCTCCAAGTTTCAGTAAAGAACGGAATTGAAACTGTCTCTCCATAGTGGTAGAGTTGTAAGCCACAGATTCCAACTGCATTCATCACTGATGCATTATGTACCACTTTGACATCAATCCCCAACTTCTTGGCTCGAACAACAAGATCAGTGTGAGTTGTAGCTCTGTGTTCCACATCAAATTATGCAAGAAAAGAGTGCAGTAATTAGCGTACAAAGTTATTCCTTATTGCTTTTGGATTGTGTATTCAGAAAAACTTGATTGATCAAATAACTCGCCCATCATTTCAATCATAAGTCCAATATTCTACTTCTTCAAGTGATCAAATAACTCAATTAAAATATAAAGTTGTTGGGAACCAAATTATAATTACTTCTCAAAAACAATTCTTTGGAAAGAAATATATAACATAATAAGATGCCATTCAAAAGATAACCAAATTGAAAAGCCAAAACAAGGAGAATGCTCCACTTGTACACGTAGGAAGGAAAGAGGACATACCCGAAAGGATCTCCAACTACAAGGAAAGCCACGTCAGAAGCAGCAGCTGCACTTAGAATTTGGTCGGCCTTCTCCTCCACCGTTTCTCTATCTGCAAGTGTGACCGGTTTTCCATACAAGTTTTCCTGTCCATTGAAATTTCTTCAGAAATCGAAGACGTTTTGCAAACAAATAGAGCAAGAGAGAGGGAGTGCGGGCAAAAAGTGATACCAAAGTGGAAAGGCCGTCGGAAGAGAGACCAAAAGAGAGGAGGGATGTGTAGGCTTCTATGAAAATCTGGTCACATTTCTTCACTGCTTCTAAGCCTCTCAAAGTGATGTCTTTCTCGTCCCCCAATCCCAATCCCACGATGTACAACATCCCTCTCTTCCCAAAACCCTCGCCTTGCAAAAACCCTAGTTGGAAAGCCAGGTACCACCACCCACACCAACGTTTCAAACTCTCACTACTACTCAGAGGCGGCCAGAGGAAGACGAGTTAGCTGTCCAACACAATACGCATGGGCTGGGCTGTCCAAGTTCGGGCCACGCCAACAAAATTTATTTAAACGTGGACGAGTTGGCTGAAGCCCAACTTATTTTTTTTGTTTATTATTGTTGTATTTCTTTTAGTTAAATAGCAAGTCAAAGTGGGATGGCAATTTTCCCCACTGGTTAGGGTCTTCGTGAGATTTCGATCTTAATGGGAAATCGGCTATGGAGATGGGTTTGGGAAAATTTTCGTGTATGATGTTAGGGGCGAGGCAGGGATGGTATTGTAATCTCCAACTCGAACACACCATGTTAGAATATATATTATTATTTTTTAAATATAAATATATTGTTAATTGACTTCTAGTCGTCTACTACGGCTCCTCCAAAATTTTATATTAAACATATTATATTATATATTCAATTAAATAATATATATATATGTCTAAAACAAAATTTACCCTAAATATGCTCTAACTTTTTTTTTTCTCATTCAAAAATCATTTTTTGCAAGGAGATGGAACGAGGAACCTGTTCCCTAATAACATGTTTACGTATCAGTAACGGGTTTAGGAAAAAAGGAACTGATTTCAATTCCTGACTTCCCTCGCGTTTAGTTGCAATCATGAATGAAAAAAATGTGTGGGTCCCACTTCAAAATCCATAATCACATTCCCTCAAAACTAGAAATCATATTAACTAGGAAATGGTAGTTGATCTGATTCCCATTCATTTTTTCCCTTACTACCTTCCCAATCATGAATAAAAACTCACGTCACTTTAATATTATCAAGATTATGCGTAGGTTATTATTATTTGATTTCGTTCAAATATTATTTGAAATTGGTTAGTTTAGCACCACAATCTAGAGGAACATGGACATAAAACAAAAACTATTGACGCTTGTTAGTTTAGCACCAGCTTTGGCTGATTGATGTAAATTAAGCAGAGCATAACAAAACTAGTTATTGTTTCATCTTATTCAGAAATAAAACAAAAAGGAAGAGAATCAATCATGCGTGGATCAGATGAAGGTATGAAAGCATTTGGACACATCAATGTAGAAAAGGTGAGTAGAGAAAATAACCAAAAACACTCGAGATTTCTTCTCAATATATATAATTCCTCTTTTAAGTTAAGCATCCCTCAACTTGGAAGAGAATCCAATATCCCAGTTCTTCTTCTTCGCAGACTTCAGTCATCGTCTTTGAATTCTCTGTTCAAAACAGAACACAAGAACACAAAACATAAGTTAGTTGCCATTTTTTAAGAATCATATGCGCAACAAAAACTAAAAACAAAAATTGCACATGAAATGATCCCATAATAATAATATTATTAATACCTGCGATCAAGGTAGCGAGGTTGAATCCCAGAACCTTGGCATGTGGTGCAAGTAAACGAACCCACCCCGTCACAATTAATGCAGTTAGACACTTCTTTCTCATCCCCACCAAGCTCCACTACGATTGTGCCAGTTCCCGTACAAAACCTGCATTTTTCTGAGACAGAGAGGACCAAAACTACAACTTGTTTACAAACAAACTCACCGTTCATTTCTATTTTCACAACATTTGATAAATAAAAAACACAGATACTACAAGGAAGGTAAAATGGTTTACTACTTGCATATATATATATAACTCTATATATTTAAACAAAAATTATAGAACAAAAAAAGCAGTTTCTTTATTACTTACGTGCGCCAGTTCCACTGCAAGGGAAGCATGGCTGAGTGTTGTCTCGCTTTGCCTGCAATTAACACTAACCTTAATTAGAAGCTGCAACTAGTATCTATTAAGTATTATTAACACACCATTTTACTACAAACTTCATTAATTAATTATAATTTGATACATAGAGCAGAGGGGAAATTGCAATTACTCACAGCACTGTCAATTTGGGTTTCATAGAAAACCGGAATGCCAATCCCAACTGCAACACTCGCCAACCCAACTGAGATTGCCACAACCTGAGATTCATGCTAATTTCAAATTCCATAGAAAACTCTTCCAGAATTTAAAAGAAATGTGTTCAAAATTGGGAAAGTAGTAGAAACATGATTTCGAAAAGAAAAGAGTGGAGGAAAGAACCGTGTTTTGATCAAGATCCAGAGCTCTAATGCATGGATAGGACCTGGGCGACCGTTGATTTCCTGCAAATTTGTGGGATATACATAAAGAAGAAGGAGACGTGGAGAGCTTGAGGGGGCAGCAGAGGAAGGGAGAGTGAAGGCGGGGAATTGAGGGCGCTAGTGACATTTCCAGGTCAATTTTCTGGTATACGAACTACAAACAAATTAGTAAGATGGTAGAAACGAGACCAAGGACCAAGCGCTGGTGGATTTGGATATGTGGGGTTCACAGTTGGCTCTCATATCAAGTATCAACCACCAAACAGCCGAGTGGAGAGCTTTATCACAAGTTCACAACAAGTTCAATGTTTTCCTCTACGTGGCTCCATCCCCGGCTATGAAAATGTGTTCTTTGGAATTTAGATGGGTTAAGGAAGCCCAATAGTCTGGCCCATCTCAATCTTGATGGGCATATAACCAGCAAATGTATGGGCTTCCAACATTGTCAACAACACATACCACGTCAAAAGTTCAAGAAAAATGCCACCTCTTGCCCTTGGTTAGACGTTCGTTATGTATATCAGAAATGACAATGGCTGAAATCTACCTGGAAAATCAGACCTGAGAAGACACAGCCAACAATAAGAGTATGTCACTTTCAGTTAGGTGTATCTTAAACTACGCTTACAACCCAAGTTTACATACATCAATCAACACCAACCGGATTCACCTTTCTACTCGACTCCAACTCTGATATCAGATGCGACTTCATCACGTTATTTCTGAGAATTGCGATTTGAAAAAAAAAATGAAACAAATGGAATGGAAACTAGAAGGCCACAAATTTACATCAGTCTACTACAACCATTCAAGAACCATCCCTTGGTCCCACCTACTGTTTATAAGCTGGCTTCCCAAGCTAAAAATTTGAAAAAGGAGCTGCTTCAGCGGCCTGCAGAACGAGCTTTCCTCAACCTTGCACGTGTAACCCGAATGCTTTCCTCCATGACTGTCTCTTTTGGGGGAGGGTTTGTATCTTCAGTCGATGAAGAGGATGCCACTGCTTCAGTCTGCATTGGTTCAACCTCCTCAGCTGGGACAGATTGGCTAGTGGATTCAGATGCAGCTGCTGTAGCTTTTTGAGTATTTGAAACTGCTGCTTGGGGGGCGGCTTTAGGCTTTGTTGGAGGAGCTAATGCTTCGGCTATCTCCCTTTGGTCCTTACTTGAAGTAGTACTAGAAGTGGGAGATGGCAGTTCTTCAGGTTGCAATTGTGTTTTAGCAGCTGGTTGTTGGTTTGGAGATGGAGGGGGTTGGCGAGCAGCAGGGGGTTGACGAGCCCTAACACCTTGTTGTGGCTGCAATGTTGAGAGTAACAACTTTGTTAGCAGAGGCAGTTGAATAATATATAATGCAGTACAGCCGATATAGTAACGATAACCAATAAATATCATGCAATGAAGGTGCCCAATGCAGGGTATTAACGAGATGCAATATACCATCAATAACTCATGAAACAACACAGCATGGACTAGTCAAAACTTGAAGGAAAAAGCAATTATCTAAGGTAGGATTATTCTGAATCCAGTACCACTCTAACCAAGGCAGGAACAGTCCACTGTAATTACATGGAAGAAATATATAAACGATATCCCCAAGTTCAAACCAAAATAGCTTTTAGGAAAAGAGCAACATAAAAGTTGGAAAGACATTCGTAAAATAGCTATTGAAAAGGGACAGCATATAAATACAGAATTAAGCAATTCTATTCAACACTGCCTTAATAATTCAAGGTGCACTAAAAATCAATAGCCTGGATGAAAACAAAAAACAATAATTTTATAATAACTTGTTCCAATTGATTGGATGCCCAGAACGGTCATGTTGCATTTCAATAGTAACAGGAGTTAACGGTAAAATTGAACATACCAAGTCGGAATCATGTCATCATACCTGAGCAGGGCGAGGCCTTGGTGTCGACTGTGCAGCAACATACTGCAAAATATCGAATATTCTCGTCTGACCATAGCTTGCAGCTCTTTGCCAATACACAACTGCAATGTCACCCGCCCTGGTTCTTAATTCCAGCAAGTTCCTATCAATTTCATTCTCATGCTTTGCAAGATATGGTCTAAAGAAGGAATCATACACATAGGTCGTTCCCTGCAACACATAGACAGTTGTGAGTACGAGAAAAGGAGTACTAATAATAATAAGGGAGACAAGAATTAAATAAGCTGATAGCCCCTTATAGAATCCTATACCTTTGTTTTAGGAAACCACAGATATATAATGAAGAGCAACTTAGCTTCACTATACATTGGAACCCTTCAATAAAAAGAAAAGCCAGAATGAGACAAAGAAGTGGCACAACAGAAGCATATTTAAAATCCCTCAATATTCAAATACAAATCCCTACCATGAAACGAAAGCATCGCCAATTCTCTCACATACAGTCAAAACAGCCACCAAAATCCTGAAATTCAGCGGGGAAAAGAGTGTTATCACTAAGAATGATTAGGAAATGTAAAAGACTATTTCAGACACAAAAAGCAATTTATACCAATACTGGCACCAAAAACGAAGTTGTTCAATCTCCGGCTTGTTCTTTTCAACAGTTTTGTAGCACTCGTAAGCTGGATAAGCATAGCCAAGAACCATCCTGACAACGCATTAAAAGGGGAAAGTTAAAATTTGACAATAATCATAAGTCCCTTCAAAAGAAACCAGAAAGTGAGGGTCAATTGATGACATACACAAGTCCTCTGGTAAGAAAGGATCCTATCATCTTGTAGACCTGTCATACACAGAAAATAAAAGCTGGGTCACACAAACAAGTCTGGCAAAATAATAATAAAGGTGTGAAAGTAAGGAAACATAAATAGCTCAATTCAATAAGAAGCAACTGCAAATTTTTCAAAGCCAACATAACTAGCAAACGAAACATCCTTCAAGAACTTTCATAGCAGAGAAAATGCAATTGCTTTTTTCTTTTTCTTTTTCTTTTTTGTTGTAAAAATTGCCATTAATAAAAATTAAAAGCAAAATAAATTCACAATAGATATGAACCATAGAAATGGCCCACCTCTTGTTGTTTTCCTAAATCAGAAAGATGCTGATACTCAGATACATTTTCGTTTTGGTTTACTGGAATTTAGCAAATACCAGACACAGATTTACCAAGAATCGGAGGAGAAACGAAGTATTTGGACTGACTATAATTTAAAATCGTTTAATTGTTATCCTCCACAAACAAAATCCCCATTCAAATTCAAGTGAGTACAACAACAGATTTGTACAAAACAACAAGCTCAAGCAGATGATTGCACCGTACGGAAATTAATTTGAAATTTTTTGGAGTCAGCATAGAAATTACCAGCATCCATTACCCCACAAAAATGAAAAATAAAAACCATTTAAATTTCCGAAACAAAAAAACCACAGAATGCAATAATCCGATGCTGAAAAGAGCCGAAACATTACCCAATCTCATGTTTCATGAAATAAAATAATACGCTGTTAAAGAAAATAAATAGTACCAATTAGAGTCTTAGAGAGAGAGAGAGAGAGAGAGAGAGAGGGAGAGAGAGAGTGTGAGAAACAAATGAGTACCTCTTGACGACTATTTTGAAATTGTTACGGATTGAAAAGAAAATACTATATAATGAGAGTTATTCGACGAAGTTGAAAGAAAACGAATCGGCGAACTGTTCGGGGATCGCCGTCGGACGAAAACGGCGCCGCCGAAAGGCGTCGACGAACCGTAACGATGTCGGCGGCGGAAGAGACTGAGAGAGAGAGAGAGAGAGTAGCAGTGTTTGTGCCGTTTAAATTGCCATTTGTTTGTTGGGTTTGCTCCTTTGGCCTCGGATGAGATTGGATTTGATTCGGTGAGTTTTAATAAACACGCTCTCTCTCTCTCTCTCTCGTCTCTAGAGAGTAAACATTTTGCTTTTGGGTTCCGTATCGGTATCACCGTATCATCACGGAGATTGGTGTTTGCGTGTTGAAGGCCTCGCCATGTACATTAGGGCTTTGATCACCGTTAAAGTTGAAACAAACGGGTCACGTTTTTCTTGGCCTTTAAATCTTGACACCTCAGCTGCCGGGCCCGCATCTCTGCTCTGTGAAAATTCCATTTAAAGCATTTTTGGCTTTACGCCCTTTTCACCATTTGAAGCCTAAACAACATGTTATAATAATAAGCATTATTTTTCCAACTATCCAGTGGCATTACGTGATTGAGTGGCCGGGCAATTTCACCACGGGGTTAGAAAATGTGTATGTTAGAGAAAATTAGATAAAGTGTTTGATCAAACAGAAAAAAGAAAGAAAATAAAATTAGATAAAGTGGGGTTGAGAGATTCTTGTCGTGTATAAAGTATCCGATGAAATGGATTATGAATAATGATTAACGAGCAAAATATTAAAATAATTAAATTTAGATATAGTGGGGTGGGGTCTACGGAAGTAACGGTAACATATAACATCGCTGGTTTTTTTATAAATAACACCGGACTGGAATGGACCCACCCATTGTCCAGCTCCAGTCTCCTTTTATCTACAGTATTTATTTTGCTATTTCCGTAGTCGCATCCCATTTGTCATTGAAGATGCTTTTCGGTAATTTCACATCTGATATTCAACTTCTCCTCGTATGAAAGAATTGAAGATAATACATCGTTAGAGCATTTTCTTCTTATTATAAAATTAAAACATGCGAATTAGTTTAGGTGTCAATCGCTCAATATTTACCTTGAGATCATAAATTCAAAATTCATCTCACTAATTTATATATATATATATATATATAAACAAAAAACACAACCAAACAAAAAAACAGAAAAAACAAAACAAAAACAGTCTGAGTCTGTATGAGTATGACGGTGGGATTATGGGCTATGTGGTGTGGGCTCAAGACCGGGGTTGAGTTGGTAAGGAGCAAGAGGGCATAATGAGGTGTGTCGTAGGGCCCACTGTGACTGAGAATCTGAGATGGAGGGGTTGGTTTGGGCTATATACCTATAGGCTATATGAAATGAGATGAGAAAGGTCATCATCCTTTCCTCCTTTCCTCCTTTCCTCCTTTTGGCTGTTCCCTCTAAGAAAGAAGAAGCAAGCTAGCACAACATCCAACCAATAAATTAAAGTTAAAAAAAGTGTACGATAAATGAGATTCTCCCCGCTGTTTCTTTATTAATGTGGCCACACCACATGAGAAAAGAGAGACTACATTGACACGTTAAGCCCTAATAAAATCAAATAAAACCAAAGGGAGGATAGAAAGAGAAGATTATTGTAATTGTAAGAGGACCTTCTTGTTGTGAACTTGTGAGCAATGAGCATTGATGATAAGTATAGATTATCGTGAGTGTGAGTGCATCCTTACATTACACCCTAACAGACGGATGGATCATGGATATGCAGATATGATAAATAAAGCATGCTGAGTAAATGTGTAAGAAGAGAGGACATCATATTCATATATGGGTCTTGTCTTTCCACTCTCTATGTGTGTTTTTGTCAACCACAAGCCTTGGATTGGATAAAGAAAATTTAGATAAAGGCGAGGATGAAGCATGTGGAAGTGGGGAAGGTTCCAAAGCGTTGGATTCTCAAAGTTAATTACTACTGGAGACTTCCCATGCATATGGCTTCATCATATTCAGCTCTTTCCCCTCATCTCCTGTCCTGCTGCATGTGCTTCTTATTATTTCAGTTTGTTCCCCTGTCACTCTCACCCCCACCCATTTTTCACTCACAACTCAGTGCCCTGTTTCAGTCTCAGCTCAAGCATGTCTTGGACTCACTCAACTCAAATTATGATGATGATGAATGCATGTTTTCGTCATGCGTTGGTTATAATTACTAATGATGTTACATTACTATATTCGTATCGTATGTATTCTTCCTTATCCCAAACGTAACGTTTCTCTTTAATTTACTAAATTAAATTACTCTTTTTATAATAAAGTGTAACTGGAATTAATGGTAATGAACTAAATTACTCTTTTTGATAACAAAGAGCAACTGGAATGGAATTACTGGTTCTTTACCATTCACATGTCATAATCCTACTCATGTGTGTGTGTGTGTGTGTGTGTTTTTTATTTTTTATTTGAAGACATTTTCTATTGAGAGGGGTGATAACATACCAAACTCACACACACTATACGGATGCTAGAACTCGAACCCATAACCTTTCATGGGTGAGCAATTATTCCAAACCACTAGACTAGTGGGTCATTTGCCTAATCCTATGTATTTAATTTGACTAAACACGGCTAAACTACCTACCTACCTACCTATCCGATCCAATTCAAGTATTCTATGTGTTACTTAATTTTATGGGACTCTTCCCACCAAACCTGATTCTTTCTAATCCATTCTATATATAGGAAGCCCATTGTGAACTTCAAATTTAGCTAAAAAAGTAATTTAAGAAGTTTATTGTGGATGTTCTAAGTTGCCAATTTAAATTATACCTTATGGTATTTAAATTCCATCATGAATAACAAGTGAGTGTTTGTGTGTAAGTTCACATTGTGCATTGTTAGTGGAGTGGAGGAGCTTTGTTCTACATTTGCAGCACAATACAATCCTTTTAATTAATGATGCCAACTGGTGGTTGAATTATAGATAGATAGACAGACTCATTGAATAATGAACCCACTAATATATACACCTCAATTATGGGAGGCACAGCCAAGCCACCCCACCTACTACTTCTAATTACTAAATGCCTTGGTGACAAATGCCAATCATCCACCCACTAATTCTATTATTAATCAACGTAGCAGGAACAAAGAAAAGTCTCTTTTCATTTTAGAGTTTTGTTCTAATATTCTGCTGCTGAACGCCACAAATGCGATAACCGTGTGGTCGAAATTGGGGGGACCGGATATACTAACTAACTAACTAACTACAGTGGTAGGTAGTAGTGTCTGCCATATCTGGGCCGTCAATTCTAAAGTTCCCGTCCACCTACGGGCTTAGATCGACTATTTCTTACAAGTTGCAACCCAACCAAGGACGTTGACACTAGACAGTGCAAGAGACCAAAATACTCCATCTCATTGACTTGATTATAAAGAAGAACGCAATTTTCAGAGACAGCACTAATGCAAAATCCTTGAACTGAAAATGATGTTGCCAATTGAATTAGCAATTTTTTTTCAATGTGTATGGTCACGTCAGGTACGGGGTTTTTACCTCAAAAATTAAGACAGAATCCTTGACCTTTTTTCAAGGCTTGGTTGACAAATAATCTCAACAAAGCAAAACTCAAAACACGGATTTAGAATAGCAGTTATCTGCCTCTCCGCACGTCGCAAGCCCTAAAATTGCCAAATGAGGGTGTTTATCTCTGGTTTGACTGAAACCGGTTATTCGTCTGCCTTCACATGACCCATGTAGGTTGCATAGATTAGATGGTTATAGGCAGCCATCTAAACGGCATCCTCGCCGTACATTGTAACAAATTTCCAGCAGCAACTATGGATTTTACTATAAAAAAGATATATAAAATAAAAAAGGTCTAGCTACACAATTTCATATCAAAACAGGAAAAGAATATAGCACCCTTCATGCCATCTGGAGCAATCAACCACCTGATTCCCATTTACACTACGGTCAATGTCCATTGGCCAATGCTGCACCACTCTTCCCAGAATTGTCTTGAAGGAGAGGTTATTTGCTCTGGGCCCAGTCCTAATTCGCTGAAAGTTGCAGCAAAGAAGGCCGTTAGTTAATTTAATCACATACAGGTTTCTTGATTGTGAAATAGGTAGGTCTCTAAACAAATTGTTATGTAGTTTTTTAAGGAACAACTTCCAGGAACATCCTTTGTTGCTGTTACACAAATGCTCCATTTCCTTTTTGCATCAAGGAATAATTGTATAAGATTCGGAACAAAACACAGAAACTCAAATGGAGAAAGGATGTATGCTAACCCCATAGATCTGTCAGGCTGACTTCAGGCTCTGATCTAAACCAATAATCGTCATTGGCCTGCAAACAGAATTAGTATACACAAATCAGTAAGTAAGGTTAATTATGACCAATGACAGAAAAGTAAATACATTTATAAGTAAATTACTGGAAGAAAAAGAATACTAACATTGACGTGTGAAGGAATAATCTTCTGAATCCCAGAAGATGCCTCTGAGCCTGGTAAGCTGAGAATTTCAGAACTGTCCTTTTTATTACCCTGATGGTATGAAGAAAGCCCTCCGTCTTCCACTCTGGAATAATCACTACTATTCCAAGAAGATGAACCCACTGATTTAGCTTGCTTAACAGCAATATTCTCTCGTTGCCCTTGGTATTTGCTACAATATTGAGAATATAAAGTGTCGCACCAAAGTAAGAAATCGTAATCTGCACATGTGAGAGAGAGAGAGAAGAGGGGGGGGGGGGGGTTGTTGGTAAGGATGAGTCAGATAGCCTAGCCTATGCATGTATACAGAAAAAATTACCTCAAGAGGTACAAATGTATAGGTCCTATAGTGCTTCTGACAATCATTCTAAACTGCTTTTGGGGAAAACAAGTATCCTCCTGATCAATTAAAAACCAAGTTAGATATTATGCGATTTACAATACAAAGTCTCAAACCACATCCATCCAATGTACCCACCTCATCATCAGGATCAATAACTTCAATATAACTAGCTTGGGGAGCTTTTATTGCAATAAGTGTTTGATTCTGTAACAACAATGGCAGTAAGAAAACATTGGGATTGATCAATAGTTATAAAGCACAAAGTAATGGAAGTTTCAAATATCTAAAGTCAAAAAATGACCTGGAAGCAACAAAGGCTTAAAATATCTTCCTCCGTCAAAAATAGGAACCTAAACAGTTGATTTTAGCAGATTATAAAGTTAAAAATGGGAAAAGAGAAAGGGAAAAAAACACCAGGACTTAGAATATACTTTTTATTCTTTTCATCTTCCTCCAGGGCCCTCAGAAGCTCTAGCTTTTCCCTGAAAAAATAACCCCTTTATAGCTCAACATACCAGACAGAAAAACATCTCAATGCGTCTAATTCTAAACAACCAACCTTATAGCATCATCAAGCCTGCATTCTTCAGCATATAAACTTTCAACTTCATCCTGAAAGAAAACAAAATGTTCTTAGTGGTTAGAGAGAGTACAAATACTCCAAGTTTGCAACATGATTATAGCAACAGAGTAGAAAGCCTGACTTTTGCTTGAAACCAGGAATGGCATTACAATATATCACTACTCACGACCAATTTCAATCATCCAAACCTCAGTTAAGATTGAAATTGGTTGGCCACCCAAACAAATAGTGCATTAAATTTAGGATAAGATAGCAACTCATTTTACAAAATAGTTGGAGGCATTGATAACCTTGAAAACCAACAGATCAGCATCACTATTTGAAAGGATGTAATAAGTCTCGGTAATGTTTCAATAGTCTTTCAAAGTTGGCATACACGACACAAGCACACATGCAATGAGCAAGATGTCGAGTTATGAACAAGATCCAAACGATTAATATTCTACATGCACCTGTATTCTAGAAACTTGATCATCTAGCTCCCCTGGTGTCGACCCCTCATAACACCTGCCATTAAAGTGCTCTGGTCATATCAAATCATACATAAAGTACCAAATAAAGGAAAGTGAAGATTTATATAATTACTTCCAGCGTATATGATTCTTTGAAGTTTTCTCTATCAAATTTATTCCTTCAAGAACGTTCGTAATATCATATATCCTCCGCTTTTGAACCTGCAACAACCAATATGTAATAAATTCAATAGGTTACAGTTCAAACATAACAGCAAGTGCATGCTACAGTCTGACTATGGACTCTGATATCAAAGACATTTGATATACCTCCAACACCTCTGCTGTTTTGTTCAAATCAAGGGTTCTATCCTTGGCCTCCTGAATTAAACTAACAAATTTCTTGGTTAACAAGCCTGCAAATAACATATTACACCCCTTATTAATCTCGATATGCCACATCCATGAATGCCTGTAACAAAGTGAGTGCTCTAAAGTGTGTGCAAAGTTAGATAGAAGGAGAGGGACAACTCCTAATGATTTTTTTTTCTTCCCTTTTTTGATCCTCAACTTACCTAAAGAGCTGTCATAGCGGCAACCAATAGCTGGATTCAGACCATTATGAGAATCCGCAGTTGATCTTTGAGTCCCAGCTTTCGTATGCTTAGGAACCTTTGACTTAGGGTTATGTTTTCTACCCGTGCAGGACTGTGGAATAGATAACGACGGATCATGAAGTACCTTGCTCGGTCCAGCAGCAGCTTCATGCCCACCAATCTGAGCCACATCATCTATTTCCTTCTTTGGTCTCAACTGCAGCAATTATTGCTTATAATAAATATGAGAGATGTGCAAAAAGAAAACATATCAAGCATGCTAAAATCTATAGTGTAATTAATTTCTAGGAATTACACCATTCCTGGGTATCGTAATTTTTATATTTTAAAAAAAAGGAGAGGAAAAAAAATCATGTGGCACAATTCAAATTGTGCTGATGAAACACATTTACAACAGCATAAAACTAATAAAACCGCATTCAGACACCCCAGCAAGTGTAATCAACTCTGATGATCCCAATTGTAAAACAACCTGACTTCTGCCATCATTGTTGGTAGTCTTGAATAATTTAACTAACAGCGAATTAATAAGACAATAAATTAAAGAGAAACAATGCCAACTTTGCGTAACTCTAAAATGTAATTCTCTTGGACTACAACTGACTTTTAATCTCTGTCATTTCTTCTTTTTCTTCTGAATAAGTTGTGAAATTCTATAGTGTATCATCCACGAGCGTGTACGGAAAATTATTACTAAAAAAAATTTAAAATTTTAAAAATCAGTGTAAATTGTAATAAAGACGCAGATTGTGAAGTTAATGTGGGAAGATAGTATGACCATTTGTTAAGAGAAACTATTGCAAAGAAATCACGAATTGACCACTATAAGCAGGATGCGAAGTTAATGCCAAACATACGACTCAATAAATTATAAGGAAACATCAAAGCCACCGGCCAATAAAATCCACAACTAATTATCAACAACAGAAAAGAAAAGAAATCATTAAAGCAGTAAAGCCTCTAAACTTTTGAAATCCTATGAATCAGAAACTGAATGTTAAGAAGAAGATAATGACGATGATGATGGATTGCGGTGATCGTACTTGAAAAAATCAATACCTAACAGGAAATTAATTCCGAAACGAAAATTGAAATCGAAAAAAATACGACGATGAGGAGCAAAAACTCACCGCCAGCTTAGCAAAAGCAGAATGGGCGTCCGCGTGAGAAGCAAAAGCGCTATCGGAGAGGCGGTGATGGCCGGAGTCGATGGAAGGAGCGAAAGCAGGAAATGAGTGGGGAAGAAGATGTTGAGAGGAAAGCAAAGACGGAAGCAGATAGCTCGGATGGTTCTGATGATTCTGAGTCTGTGAATGAGAGTGCAGCAGCTGGAACTCGAATTGAGACGGTCGAAGAAGGCGATTCGGATCCTCCATCTCCATGGGTAAGCGGGAGAGAAGCAGAATTGAAGAATGTGAGAGAAAGAGGTAGGTTTTTGAGTGTTGGAGGGAAAGGGGAAAATCGACTGGAACGGATTTTGAGAGATTTATTAATTACTCTCTAATTTTGTGAGTGTTTGTGTTTTAATGGCATTTCAGAAATGGAGAAGGAAACCAAACACAAATCAAACTCGAAGCGCAAAGCGAGAGCGAGAGAGAGTAAGCGCCGTCAGTCAAGTGACGCAACAGCGGGAAACGTATGCGGATGAGTTCGAATCCCCTCGCCCCGCCTTTCGCCTGTCACCGTCACTTCGGTTTTTATTGTAATTATAATTTGCATCGCCTAAAACTCCGGCTCGGCCTTCTTCTTCATCTTGGGCTTGGGCTTCGTAATGGGCCGATGGCCCAACGTTCCAAATTTACCATGCCCGCTCAAACATAGCGCCGGTTTAGCATTGCTTATTTGGGGTGATAAGTGATATTTTTAAATTTTTGGAAAGCCTAGCCAGTTTGGTAAACTATGAGAAAATCACTTATTGTTAAAAACTGTTGTGAGAAAAAGCTATAAGGGAAAGCAAGTTATGAGGTGCTTTCATTTTTTAATTATGTAGGAATCGGTTTTGAAGAGACATTGGGTTTAATGATTATACGGGAATCAGTACCAACAACACTTTTAACAAAAAGTTTACCAAACGCCAAATTGTTCTCTCACAGCTGGTTTCTCTCACATCAAATCTAACAATTAACGATATTTTAAACTATTTCAATGGATAAGGAATGGGTTCAAACTCGGTTGAAATGAAAGGAGGCGAGCACATTGCACTTCAAATATGATGAAAGTCTACGACAGAAATAGGTTTCTGGTAGAAAATTTAAAATCTAAATTCGCAAGAAAAATAGAGCACCATCATTATTCTCATTAGGCCCAAAAAATAGCCGTAAAAATACACAAGGGCCACAACCCACAGATTGCAAACCCTGCAAGAGAAAAAAAGAGCGCCGTATTTGCAGGTTTACAGATAAGTAAAAAATGAATAGCTAGTGTACATTTTGGACGCTGTGAGTTTTGCTCACGAACATCCATATAACAGCAATTCACGCCTTGTGATTTAGTTCTTTTAGAGGTAGAATCAGTTGGGACTTATCTTGGTCCCGCTGAGAATGTAACCACCGAATGCATTCATCTGCATGCATGGATGGGTTCTTGAGGGAAGTACCTGCATCAATTTATTCAAAAAGAAAGGAACATCAGTCGATCTTTTCATCACAAGAATCATCATACAAACACTAAAACAACCAAACAGATGCATTACGAAGACCAAACCAACCTGATATTCGCGTAGCCAAGGTTCTGAAATTTGCATGCCAATTGCCATTTTTCCCAGTTGTAAATTGTGCATGCATGTTGCAAGAGGCTGCATTTTAAAGACAATAGTTGTTTTAATTTAATCTTCCACCAAGAAGTGAAGAATCCGTCCGTATACACAAATCATTAATTTGGTATGATAAAGCATTTGAAGCTAACAACCTGAAGATACTGATGATAAATAGCAAAAGGAGCTGAATTTGACAAAAGTGGAAAGATCTCCTTAACTAAGTTCCAAGTATCCAGCTCTGGTGCTGCTATTATTAAACTGCAAAGAGAATGTGGACCTTATCAACCAGATGCTTCTTTCAACTAGTAAACTAAACATGCAACAACAACACTTACCAAGAGAAACCATGCGCTTTCCACGAGCTGATGATTTCCTGTGGTGCTTTTTCTCCCAGTTTTGCAGGTTTGGACATTTTGATTACTGGAGAACTGGTAGACTGAGGAATAACATCCGAGATCACATTTTCAGATACACGAGAGACTTCTTCCACTCTGACTGGTGAAGTAATTCGGTCCTGTTAAAAAAGGATATCTGACACAATTTAGAAACTGCAAGCCCACAATTGTGCAGACAAAAAATGAGGAGCTGCTTACATTTGACTGACTTTCCATGTTACAAGAGTCCGAATCTTGACTTACTGGTTTTTGCAGACCATTTTGCACAGAGAAGAGATCAGTGAGAGGAGACCTCACAATCCTGGAACAAAAACATACATATAAAGATATCTCAAAAATTGGTCAAGTACGAAAAATTAATGCAAACCGAAGTGCACATGGAGTAGGTGGGGTGGGATCCATGATAATTTTGGCAAATCAACCGAAGAATAAAGAATTTTCACCCTGGTTATCTAGGCATAACAATCAACACCATAACCTAGGTTTATAATGCACTAGTATGAAATCCATGTGATGCACAGGTTCTTTGGAAAAAGCATAAAACAAAGCAATTAACAGAAATTAAGATTCCAGGAAGAGACGATCAATAATAACATTAACATTTGTCGATAGTATAATTGGAAAATATTGTTTCAATTTTCTTTTCTTTTTTTTTAACCAAGAAAAGAAAAAATAGTTTATTTTCTTTAATTTCATGAAACTGAAATTTGCCTCCAATTTCTTAATTCAATTTGCAGTCCTCCAATTTCTTAATTCAATTTGCAGTCCTCCAGTTTCTTTAGTTTCTTTTATGGCACAATGCCTGCATACATAAAGAGTAGCAGGTTTTCATCTAACCGTATATCCTATAATAGTGCAACTCATAGGCAGATGTACCTCTTGCAAATTTCATCTCCGAAGTTGAATATCCTCGCTATATCAATAGGATAAGGCGAGCCACCAATGTATGTGTTGCAGACATAGCCCGCCCCTGTCAAACATACAGAAGCATTCAACATCCAAAATGTCATAAACAAATAGTCGCATTTGCACAAAGTGGCCACAACAAACAGATTTCCTTTTTTACTCTGGATATGGTTACACTTCATTTCACTACTTCAACACCCATAGATCTTGTTTACATACTTTAATTATAAATTGAAACCAACACATAGTAAAGGACACTTGGGGAAAAAATAAACATATAGCAAACCTCCTAAACGCTCTGCCACAGCACCAGTAAGAAGTCCTCCAACCATATCCACTACGAGGACATCAGAATTTGCAGAGACATTAGCCATGGAAAGCAGAAGAGATAATGTATCCATTCGCAAGAATCTGAATCAAAGGCAAACATGTAATTCATAAATTCTGAGCAAAAAATATGAGGAAGTCATTTACCAAAAGTAAAGGAAAATTCATAAGTCGCTATGTCGTTACCCAATTCTAGTCGGATACTTCTTTAAGTACGCCTCACATATACTGAGAGAAACAAGAAGAAAGACAAGTCAGTAAAAAGAATTTCAGATTCTGCCATTACAGATGCACATCCAGAACCCACCCAAACCAATGTTAATGCAGATAGTAGGGCTCTTCATAACTCTTTTAGCTTCAACTGCTTGTGGCGATGTGTCCTGTTTATTTTCTAATTCCACTTATTTGGAAATTCCACATCTTATATGGACCTCTGAATCATATAGCTTTAAATCCGAAACAACTTCATCATTAGATGATAAAATAACCAATGAAATAATAAACACCCAACAAGAATTACAGGAAGAACACTCCTGTCTTACATCAACCAATATCCCAAATTTCAATATAAGTGTCTCTCAAATTGTAACTATGACATATTTCAGAGAAGCTACTGATTCAAAAGTAAGAGGTAACCTTCTAGTGAAAGGGCGCCTCAGAAGTACAATGGGAGCATATTTCTTTTGCTTCTTAAGCCTATATTTCTCCTGCAGACAACAGACAGACAGGCAATTAGCTTATCTCAAATAAAGACGAAAGTAGCACTCACATTGTCTAATTTTACCTGTGAGAACACAGTCTTTTTCTCAAATGTCGCACTGTTTGCAATGAGAGCATCAACAATTTCATCACCAGTTGCACCCAGTCTGCATAAAAAATTGTCAGCCTCGGTCAGCATTTCTCGGAAGGAAGATAATATGCCAGGATAGTGAACACAGATAGAATATGTATTTTATCCCAAAAATTATAAGGCAGGTGGTGCACAAGTTTTAAGAGAGCTGCATCAGAAGTGTGCAAAGATACAAATTAAATCCTTGAACAGTTTGTTCTCACCGTCGCATCTCGTTTATGTCTTCACCAGTTAGGCTTTGCGCTTTATTGTTATCAACTAATGCTCGATTATCTCTCAACTCATCTATTGACTGGCCATCACCTTTTTCTAGAACATTATTACCTGGAACATGAAATTTAAGATGAAACTAAATTTTACAGTAGAACACACTGCCATAAACATGCAAAATAAACAAAGAAAATAATCTGAAAATTTTGAAATAAAAAACAAAACCTTCTGTGGACGGAGTATAACGAGACAAATACGGCCCTTGCGCTCCGTTTTCAACGCGAAAGAAAGAACCAAAGGGGCAGCCAAGCAAGGGTTGCAGAGAACAATTCTTATTCCCAATCTTCAATGTCCTGCACATCCATTACACATTTAGCTGTGCTTATTTTAACTGAGCATGCGTGTGAATTTCCAAGACTGAGAGCAAAAATTGAGAGCGGAAGACTTACGCTCCTGCGGAGAGACGAGCGAAAACCAAACGATCGCCGTCGTTGATGTCAAGCAAGACACTGCAACCTTCCCAGGTCGATCTAGGGCTTTCAAATAAATCGCTTTGGGGCTTATTTTCCGACATATCCAGTCTTTTATGTTATATTGAATATACACTCCCCTTATTATAGTCTTACCGCGGATCCCTTTCTCAATAAATTGAAGAACAGACTAGGAAGAATTTTAGTTGAAAACACAAATTATTAATATACAGGCATCAGAGATGCATTGCTGGGACTAGAAGAGTGTCTGAGTAACTGACGGGCTCGGATATTTCAGAAAGACAATTTGAAACGAAGCTATCAATAAAACCTTAAAAACCCAACTCCACTCGACAGTTAGCTAGGGTTTAGTGGAGAGTATGCCTTCAGGAAGATTTTAAGTTTAACAAGTGGGTTTTATCGAAATCCATACAAAATTTCGTCGCGACACATGTTTGCCTGGATCGTGGGATGGAAAACGTTCGTTGGGTAGAAACAGATATGTTATGTCGTACTAACCTAAGATTGATGTTGAAACATTAATTGTAAAGTCCTAGGTGAGTTACGTGAGTATCCAAGTCTGATCGAGTTATAAGTGCCCTAGAGTAAGCATACGGTTAAGGTTCGACACTTGAGAACGGTTTTGGAACAAGTTTGGAAGCTAGGGTTTTTGTTTAAGACTTGGATTTAGTATTAAAGCCAGGTTCTCTTGTGACACGTACTTGCGTTCTCCTTTCAATTTAAATCCTCTCATCCTCTTATTTTCAAGGGAGGGGGGTAGGCAGTGGCGGATCCACGTTGGGACAACAGGGGTCGGACGACCCCTTGGAAGGTTGGAAAAATGGTCTGGGACTCCATTGAAGCCCCCTTGGACAGCTGCTGGAAGCCCCCTTGGATGCACGCCATCTGCTCGATGAAAGTCCCAGGAGAAGAGGAAGCTTGCTGCGCAGCTGCGCTGCGCATAATTTTTTTTAAAAACTGCCTTGCCAAACGACGTCGTTTGGCAAAGGCTCAGTCAATTTTTTTTTAAATGACCTGGCCTCAAAACGACGTCGTTTTGAGCCAGTTAAAAAAAAAAAAAAAAAAAAAACAAAAAA